AAACCCACAAAAACCTATGGATGCCAGTTGTGAAAGCCTTCGACTTCACACAGTTCTGGGATATTACCTCTATATTGTGGTGAATGGCTGAAAACAGAAGTTTGACTGGTAAATTCAACCGTGACAGATGTGAGATTTGAACTGGGGGTCCACTGGGTTGCAGTCATGATCCACAATCAGAATTACATATCTAAATATTTCAATTTTTAATTAAAAAAAAAAACACCCCAAAACCATGTGGGGAGAGGTGCAGAAAAGCACCCTTGCAACCCTTTTCTGATTTAAATCTCTCCTTCCATGAAGCTATTAGAAGCCTAATGGTGGTAAATATACATTCAAGTTAAGGAAACATCTTTAAAAATAAAATCTTTATTTATCCAGTGCCTTGATACAATTTTCAAAGGGGGGTAGAAGGACATGACTGCTTTTAAGAAAAATGAGAAATGTTGCGAGATCCAGCCATGGATTTCCTGCATTGTATCTAGTTTGGCTTTGGAAAAAGGATGACAGAACACAGCTTTCATTGGAAACAAAAGTATTTCTTTAAAGGGCATGGAAGAATTAGTGGAGGAATTATCACACACATTTCCCAGTAGAAAAAAAGGAACCCATCTGAAATTTTCAAACCTGAGAATCCATACAAGTTTTCATTTCTTATTTTTAGGCACATTGTCTATAGCAGAAAGATAGAAATGCCACTCCTGATAAGTCTGATACACGCTCTTGTTTTACGCACTAGCTTGAAAGTTCGCTTGTATTGAGTTCCAGCTCTTATCTCTGTCCTGAAATAGTCAAGGATGTTAATTGTCCGCCTTCGAATAAGCCATTCATCCCTGAGTCCAACAAAGCTTCTTTTTTGTGGAAAAAGCCATTGGGGAATGATGGCTTGCAGGCATCTCAGTTCTCCTATGTTGTTGCTTTTTCTCCCAGCAAATTGAATTTCCAGTCCTAGATAAGGACAGTTTTGTTTATTTTTAAAAAATTCATAATGAAATAATGTATATAAACATTTATATAGTTGTGAAGTCGTAGGTTTTCATGGCCGGCATCCATAGTTTTTTGTGG